TCGCTGCAGGCCTTGCGAGAGTGTAAGCATGCCGGGGCTTTCTTTGAGTGTTTCGCCAGAGGAGCCAAGGACCCTACACGCCGGGGCCGGTATCATAAAACTTGGGGAGACACTGTGGAGATCAGGGTTCAGGGTTACTCCAGCTAGACCTGGCTGATCATCGTCCTGCTGAGCAATCAGGCACGAGCCGCATAGGAGAACGGAGATACGTATCAGTCCTGTGTCCTTCCTAAACCAGGAAACTTTGTTACGGATTTTCTGCCCGTCTGTTCCAACTCAAAAACCCGAGCTTCTCTTGCCAGCACTCCTGTAATATGTCTCGTGCCCCCTTGTGCTCAGCGCGACAAATTCCGGGAGAAGCGCTGTGCCCGGCCAGCGCCCGAGAGACGAGAGGCCGAGGAATGCCGTTCCTCTTGTTGGATGAAAGAGCCAGGAGGGGTGTTCCTATAGGTTGATGCATTGCCTTTCGCATGCGCGCCGTTGGTTTGCACATCTTGCCTCGAGGAGGCTAACAGTAACATGACTGGACATTAGCACATGAACGTGCGGCAGTTCAATTACGAAGCAAAGCGTGACCTGTAAACGACATGCTCCCTATGAGGGTGGCAGGAGCCCGGGCAGACTTCTCGCGGACAAGGGCTGACATCCAGAGGGCTCGGCCCAGACCCAGGACATGATAATGTATCAGGTTTCAACACACAACGAGGGGCATTGAAAGGGTTGGGTTGCAGTCCGAGAAGAATGGCCGAATGCTTCTCAGTCCGTTCCGAAGTTCAGCTTGTGCGTAGCTTAATGCAGCCTGAAAATCATTGGCGCCGGCCTGAACATCCACACAGCAAAGCACTCATGAGGCCCCAAGCACGATGGACAGCTCGTACATCAGATCTCCAGAAAACCTGGGCTGAAAAAGAACGATTGGCCACCACATTGATGCCGACCAATTTTGATCTCGGAAACCCGAAGCAAGGAGCAAACAGAAGCAAGAACAAAGCAAAGCCATGAACCTTTACATGCCAAACTGGAGGCTCTGAACACCCTGAACTCCAAGCCCGGAACCACGAATGCTAATGCTGTAGCCTTTCCTCGCCTGAGGTGGGCCTCCGGAATGATGAAGGAGATTTCCATTGTTTGGACCATGATGTCCGAGGCTCCCACCAAGATGAGAAGTGTGAAATGGCCCCCGGTCCCTCCTGGTTGCATTCTTACGTCCATCCTTCTTGCTCGGGTCATAAGGATGGTCATTACCTTTTACTGGATGTTCTTGCTATTCTACGATTATGTGTAAGTTGTCAATCCTGTTGCTGCTGTTGTTATTCTTGCTCCTATCGGGTTTCCTGCCAGCACGTCCTTTGGCAATCTCAACGTCAAGCTACTTCAAGTGAAGGTTGGGGCTGGTCCATGCCACGATGGCGATGCTTCCATGCTGCCACTTGTATTCCGGCCAGCATATCGGTCAATGCTGCTGGTGCCCTTTCTCCTCCTCCACCTCCTCTAGCTATTAATTTCCTATTACTATTATTCTTCTTATTATTATTACTACTACTACTACTACCACTACCACTACTGCTACTACGACTCCTGCTGCTGCTGCTGCTACTACTACGACGACGACGACTACTACTACTACTACGACTACCACTGCTAGTGTTAGTAGACACGACTTTGCAGGCTAGTGCTAGTAGACGCGACTTTGCAGGCCGCTGGCGAATGCGGCGACAATGATTTTGCGAGCGCCTCCTCTGCATGCGCGGTAGGACGAGTGAACGTTTCGTGGGGTTGAAGGATAGGGGCGTGGGCACAGCAGCCGAAGAAGTGAAGGCTCGTGAGAGTTCGTCTGCATTCATCATACCTGTAAGGTGAGCATGTTTGCATGTCTTCACTGGGATCTTCTCGATAGGTGGATGTTCCCAGGGGTTCCAGAAAATGGGGGCCGGATGAGGTAGACACGAGAATTCTTGTCTGGAGTCAGATCTCGCTTTTCAGTTTTCGCATGCATTGCGGACACACACACAGGCTGCAGAGATCACGGCTGTGCTTCCTGCAGGCAATGCTTGCTCCCACTTCCTCGGTGGCACCTTTGCAGGGCTCTTCTTCTTTTCCGAGGCTCGCTTTAGTTCTCGAGCTAGCAGACGTATGTCCACGAGCTGCAGACTGCTGAAGCGGACATGCGACTGAAGAGCTTCGTAAACTCTGTCAGTGTTCATTGGGGAAGTTTCAGAGATGGAGTGACCAAAGGGGGGGCCTCATCACAAGATGTTGTTTCAAAGCTTTGGTGAGCAATAGCTCCCTGCTGCAGGCAATCAGCCGAATGGCTCTGAGGTGTAAAGCACGGGCCCAAGCTTGCGAGTGTCCGCGACATTTTGCCTTGACCTGCCAAGATGCGTGGCATCTATCAGTCACTCACCATGTGGCATATGCATCCTAGGACACAGCGGACAGACCAATCGTCTACTTCGCTTGTTCCCAGGCCGGAAGTGTTGGAGCAGGTGTCTGCATGTGTGTGGGTGTACGCCATATGTGTGTCTGTACGCCATCGAAGATACTGAGCTCAGAATCAAAGGACTCGCTTCAGCTGCTAGGGGACCAAGTTTCAGAAATCGCATTGTGCACGAAGCAGGTGGGTTCTGTCCCGACAAGTGCATGGAATTCGGGGGTGGATCCGGACATCAGAGTTGAGACCCAAAAGCGCCGGAAGAAGCACAGAAGCCAACCAACCTCAGAAGGCCAAAAAACAAACGCCTTGCAAGCCTTGGAGAAATCCTTGCCTCAGGTCGCTGCTGTGACATCACCTCCAGAAAAAGCCTCTAAAGTTGCGACTAAAAATCAAGCCATAGTGACAAGCAAATCAGGATCAAGGCTTCATGGGAGAGTCCATAGACACCATGGCTGTGGCAATCGGAGCCTCTTGGCAGCTTGATCATCCACTACGTGGATAGTCCCGAATATCCCGCCGATATCTTTGGGAGGGGATTCATTCAGTTCCGACGGTCTTTGCCAAAAGAGCAGCATGCAGTCCAATATAACGTGGGATTGCAAGTTGATTTGCGGCGTTACCTCATCCCCTGCCGAAGAGCTGGCACCAATCATTTATTGATATCGGAGGATGCAAGGACGAGACGGAAGCAGGCACTCGCCAGTGAAGCAGAAACTTGGTGATGGCCCTAGCCTTGCAGCAACAAACAGCAAGCCTATTCCAAAGGGCGTGCGCCAGCGTCGTCGTAGCCCAGCTCGAAGCTATCTTCAATTTTTGTTCAACCTCCACACTCTCCTACTGGTATAGCATGCAAAGCCTCTGGAAAATCGCTTGTCCTGTTTGACTCCGAAGCTCCTATCTCTTGCAAAGCCTCCCAACAACAGCTGAAGTCTCATCTGGCCAAGGCTTCCTTGCGGGACTGCGGCTACGGCTTCGGCACGGTGAAGAGGAAATCTGGCTGGCTCGGTTTTGGCCGCCGCTACTTTCTGCCATGAGGCCTGAGATCCGCATCCCAAAGCGGGAATTTTGGCGAGTTCGCAGAGGTGGTGAAGACGAGCTGCGAATGGGCAACACCCAAGCTCTCGTTTCAGGCATCTTGTGCCTCTGAGGTTTTTAATGACGGCTTGGCCGCAGCTAGCCCCCGGCGATGGTCAGATTTTTTCCTTGATGCCTTCAAAGTGGTGGCATATTGTCAGCCTTCTTGCTCTTTGCTCAAGGGCGCTGCGATCGGAATGCACGACATGAACCATGCAATGGCATGGTCCGCAAGTAACTAGTCGATTATGATGCTAGCAGCTGCTTGCATGCTTGCTCCTCATATGTGCTAGCTAGACGTACGATTGCAACCCGATAAGGGTCCAAGCAGCACTTGCGGCATCTTTTTTCGATCAGAACAATTACTTCGAGCATTCCTCATGTGCGAAGCACGCAGAGGTGCAAATCCCGAAGCCTGCCTGCCCACAATCTGCGTAGTACTGCAGAGGCACAAGCAGAAAGAAGAATCACCAGGCACCATTCTTCTGTAGTTGCTCTCGCACTTATCGCCTATGGGCCCATGGTGGGCAGCCATCTTGCAGTTTTTGACGGATTTCCTGGGCTACTTCGGACTTGAAGGGCCTGAAAGGAGATTCCGCTATGCACAGTCAGTCGGGCAGAATAGCCGCGGCTGCCTACTAGAGTTTGCCTCTTCTTCGCGATGTGGGTAGTTTTCTAGATTGGGGTTCCTTTTTATAAATGTATAAAGGTGCCGTACTATACTTGGGACCTTAAAAAGGGACCCTAATTTAGAGAGCTACCCATGTATCGAGCCGGGGTCAAGCGTCACGCACTCAGAGAACCGACCTGATGAGGTCGACACCTTTGCGTTGAAAAGTGCCGAAGCAGTAGCATAGTATAAAATTCTGTGGTTTAATGTAGTAGGGCGTATGGTGTAGTTTAATATACGTAGTATAGTATAGAGTAGAGTATAGTCTAGTCTAGTATAGCGTGGCGTGCGAGTTCTGGCTGCCGTGGCAAGCTCTGCTAAGATGTTATTGCTGCTGCTGGCGACGGTGATGTAAAGTCTCAGAGCCGTTACCGCTCGATCTGGGTTTAGGGTTTAGAGTATAATCTCCAGAAGTGTGCTACCGGCACAGTACGATCAACATGCTTCAATCAAGCCCAGCATGTTGTACTACCATGCCGACTTGACTGGAACAGTAGCCCGTGCGACGCAGACAGTGGCTTTACATCTCAGTAATCGTAACGACAGTAGCTTTAGGCAACCGGCTGTCTAGCTTTGTTTTGTGGCCTATGCAAAGCCGAAAACCCTGTGCAAGCCTGCACTAACTGGCTGAGATCTTGCCATGCCGGAAGGTTGCAACTAACTTTCAGGCGGGACAACGGCCTGCTTTTGACAGCAGTTGAGTTAACGTTGACTGTTGCCGGCTGAGAGCGAGGGTTTCAGGGTGTAGGCTTTAGAGTTCAGGCGAGAAAGCAGACAGTGTATGGACAGTCCATACGCACAGCTGTCGAACTGCAGGAGGCGATGGATTCCGGCTCGGCAGCGCTTGTGCGGCCAGGGGCATGGCTGACATGTACACTGTGGCAATGAGATATCGGACTCTGAAAGTTGGGCCTTCTTCGTTCAAGCCCCTCCATTGACCTCTATGGCCAACGCATGTTTCTCGTGCCTTGCCGGTGATGCTGCTACTGGCTGCCTTGGATAGGCCATGAAAGGATGTCGCAACCTTGACGAACGCAACAACGGCTGCTTTGCACGTAATGTAGCTAGCAATGTCATGAGTCATACAATATCCATTTTATCACTCTGCGTTCCGACACATCGAGGCTGGTGGCTTCAGCCATCGGCGCAGGTGTTGCAGAGGCTCAGACCCTGGAATCTCCAGACGTCTATCAAGCTCGCGGCTGCAGAGGGCGATGCAAGTTCTGTCCTTCGAGCAGGCTGCCACACTACCTGCGGATGTGGCCAAGGCGGGCACAGCAATGTGAGGGGCTTGACGGGGCGGTGTGGACCAGTTCTTGAAGCAGTCAAGACTCCTGTGCAGCTGGCTTAAATTCCCGGGCTGCTCAGGCTGTGCTGGACGAAAGGTTCTGGAACTATCTAAACCCATGCCCCCGCCTGACACCACACCGTCCAGCCGACCTTGGATCAGGTTCGACTCCAACTGCAAAGCAGCTCGGATGGCGAGCTTAGGCCTGCACGTAGAATTTGCTTCGGGCACAAGAGGATGCTTTAGCTTTAGTTGTTCGATGGCTTTCATTTGTGTTGTGTGTGGCGGGGGTCATGGCAACAGACCGTTGATATCAGCACTCATCATGTCATCGATCCACGCTGGTACCTGGCTGGGGCTTATCGCAGGTACCACGGCATGATGGACTGCATCGTGAAGGCCGGCGTGAAGACTTAGCAGCTACTTTCACTTGGACGTCCTGCATTTAGGGGATTTCTGAATCTAATCTTAGTAGCATCCTACAAAGCCATGGGGGGCTATTTCTCTTGAATTCTTGAGGTCGCCAAAGTTGAAGGGCTGGGAGCGCCAGGGACTCGACATCTGAGAATTGTGGCTAGGGAGCTATAGGGTATTCCTTGTGCAGTCCGCGCCTGACAGCCGTCATGCACACCTGGCGCAAGTGGCGAAACCCTGCAGTCTCAGTTAGACATGGAATCTAGGATTGCTGATATCTGCAAACCCCTTGAAATTTCCTGCTTGATGCATGGAATGCAGTGATCAGGGGCGCGTTGCAGTAGACAAGAAACGATCATAATCATGGGATTACCATGACGATGATGATGCTGATGATGCTGAGGATAACCGTTATCCGATGGCGATGAGCAGCAGGAGGAGCAGGGTAACGGTCGCGTTCATCAAATCAAGACGAGCACGCCGGGTGCGTCGCGGGCTCTCCATCCCATTGTCGGCCGAGGTTGTGGAAAGGTCTCGTACCGGCGCTGGTGCGGCAGGCGACTTGCAGCAGCAACGGTTGGAAGACTTGTCTACGGTACCAGCCGCACGGTGTTCCTACGACATCTTGCTTGAGATAGTTGAGTCCCATTCGTTATGGTTATTCTCCTCAGCCTCGCTCTTGTAATGAGTCTCTGTAAATCCTCGGCTGGAGCTCCACAGATCAATCGATCAACAGCCACTCCGTGCTAAGCTCTGTTCGACAATGTCAGCTTGAGAAAGCATCTACCCATACATTGGACCCGCTGATTTCATCATTTAATTTCCGTTTGCGACCCGTGTCTTCGAGGTTGAACAGGACATGTTGATGCTGACCCATTTCAGCATCTAGCCGGATGGAAGCCTAGAAAGCCCCAGACCTCCCCAAAGGGAGGTTACCGATACTATTCTGAGATCTTGGCAGGATTCTTCGGGCTGCTATTATGCCTCCTTTACCTGTTTTCCCATGTTGGCCACCATCATCCTTGTCTTCAACGAAATGAAATAAGTTGCCAACAGGGCCGCTAAAATTCTGACATCCGTGTCGCAAGAAGCAATCCACATCCTCCTCGTGTCGCCCGTTGGTGTTGTCGATGACAGCACTTTCACCATTGCCTTGGTGCAGCACCATGATTTCATGGGGTCGCTGCTTACTAGTGCTCGTTCCTACTATTCGTTTCAACATAGCTGTCATGCGCGCATTGATTTGAATCGCCTTTGACGACTTTGCAAGGTGTCCTACCACTCGTTCACCTTCGTCCTCTACGAGCCAATCCGGGTCGCGGGCTGACACGATGGAACGGGATTGGTGGACTTGAGGCATTGAAACTGGGTCCTTTGGTACTTTGGTCCCTTGAGTTGTAGATCCCGCACGTGTAGATTTTCCTCAAGATCTGGCAGGGCACAGAAGCTCTGAAATCGGCATCTGCTTAAGCTGTCTATGTTCGTACTGGATGTGGTATTCCCTTTCTGGGTGAGGAGGGGGGGCTTATCACGAAAAACTGATGATATGCTCCTTAAAAGGGGGCCCTGGAATGGAACTGTCCTCCATGGCTGGAGTCTCGTGATCTGAGGATGTGGCAAGTGCGCTTCTGGCCATGGAGCCGGGTCAGACCACGTACCTCCTGTGCGGGAACTCGGTCTGAATCATCAGATGTCTCCGTCTCCTATGCATCCTATACCCTGTTTGCGAGCCACCCCCTTTTCAATGGAGTCAGATATGAAGTCTCTTGGGCTGTTGAGTTAAAGAGCTGCTTGTTAGCTTAGCAGAAAGCTAAGAGAGAAGATCCTCAACTTTGTCCTCGCCCAGTCGGCTCGTGTCGGCGGGAACCTCGGCGGCCATCGCCATTGCCCTCTTCAACCCTACGGAGGCCGCGCCGTCTTCGATGAGGGCGGGGGTTTAGTGTCATTTTGGTGGGTTTCCTGGTGCTGTTCATTGTTCCGACTGGACCTCAATATGCTTCAGACTTCTTCTGACCTTCTGCCTGGACGTGCAGCACTTTGCGGATTGGAAACACTCGCCGACTAGCAACGGCTTCGGTGTTCGAGAACTCGCTGCCTGACACTGCAAGGCGTAGGTTGCGGGCACCCAGCAGCCTCAGCTGCTGGAAGCCTGCAAGAACTGAGGGCCCAGGCCATCATTCAAAGCGCATCGGCATAGACTGACGGAGACCTTCAAAGCTCCCTAACTGCCAGTCACGACACCTCTAGCGGTCCGTTCCATGCAGGCGACTATGGGCCTCATCCCGTAGTGCTAGACTCAAACTTGAGATCGATCAGGTCATCAAGACCCAGATACAGAGCAGCTCCGCCAGCCTAACGATGCGGGAGGTGAGGGGATGCTTGATGTTCAGTCTTAGCGTAGGGTTTAGTTTCTGTCGTGTTGTAGTGGTTTCGTATCGATTCCACGGTGGGCTGCAGGGATCGACCGCTTAATGCTCGGCTTCAACTCCAGAGATCAAGTTCGGGCCACAAGTTTTGCAAAACTATGTGTCGGTGGGTGCAGGAATATCCTCAGCGACACGCTCCTTACCAAACCACCTGCTACTAGTAGCTCCTGGAAGGAGCCCTAGATAAGCGATCATACTGACCTGGAAGGGGCATGAAGGGACGGGCTTGGGAGGAGGGCCTATGCTCCCAAATCCGAAGCCCCATGGCTCTCCCATGATGCTCTTGTCATTAAGCCTTCGGGAAACCTCTCCTAACCGTCCTCGCAGGTCGCATCCAAGGCTGCTGCCTCGGACATGCCTCGGATACACTAATTTGCAACAGAGGCGCTGAGCCTCAGGTTCTTGCCACGGGCTCGAATGAGCAAAAGGGTGTCCAAGGAGTGCGAGAGAAGATGTGTCCGCTGAACTTAGTACCTGAGGTCTGGAAGAAGGACGGCGCAAAAGGCTTCTGGGCTGGAGTTCGCCCTAACGTCGTGAGGACTGCCGTGTCGGAAAGTCTTCCATTTGCAACCTTGCGGAGCAGCATGACGGACCACCCAAGCACTCATCCTAGTGTTAAGAGTTACCGTCTCGGAACAAACAGCCGACGACTTCTTCGTTGATGGCCCCAGACTAGAGCTCACACGACGTTTGCCCTTTTTCATCGAGCTCTGTGTGTATCTGGCTCCCGCAGATAACCATGAGTGGTGATGTTCTGAACGGCCAGCAACATCCTGGGAAGACTTGTAACACTTGTCAACCTCGTTGTCTTTTCAGCCGCCGGCATCGATGCAGCCGTCGTTCTCGACGTTGTCGTTGTTGTCGTTGTATTGTTGTCGTCGTCGTCGTCGTCGTGGTGGTAGTGGTAGTGCTAGTGGTAGTGGCGGAAGGAGGAGCAGCAGGAGTAGTGATGGAAATAGGATGCAAAAGGAGCAGGAGTATGAGCAGCAGCAGCAGCAGCAGCCCTAATCAGCAACAGCAGCAAGCAGCAGCAGCAGCAGCTGTACGATTACAATGCTAAGCGTACCATTTGTGCCGGGTTTCATGAACGTAGTGTATCAATTGAGCCGTAGCAATGAAAATTCACCCGTAGGCTCCCTTCAGAGAGGACTTTTCTGGTCAATGGCGCCGAAATAGGCCTCTGGCTGAGCCTCATGTCAATGCGCAGCTTCTGCTCAAACAAGCAGAGTCTCTGTTGCAGTCGTCAGGGGTGTAACCTGGGCAGACCAGAGCCAGAGTCATCGACAGTCTCAACAGATTCCAAGAATTTACGAGCACGAACCAATGTGGAGATGTGCAGGCACTTATGACGAGTCCAAGCTGGTCCTGATTGAGTCAGCCGGGGACGGACTTGACTGGTTCCCAGCCTTGCAGCTGAGTTGATTGGCTCCTTTTGCTCGGCTCTTCTCCAACATCTGGACCCCTGCGCCTCCAGCTTTCCATCTTCGAAGCTCGCATACTGCCTTCAGTGCTGCCCTCAGTTTGCTCACGTCGGCGCCAGCTTCGTCGCCGGCTTGGCCTCAGCGTGCGCCTGCGCCCCAGGAAGCCAAGCAAAAATCCAGAGCTTCAGCGCGTTGTGCTCACTTTCAGCTGAGCTCTCTGGCGACATGGAGCCTGCGCTTCGACTTCTGTAGGTCTCTACACCAGCGGACGTCGTCAAGACCCGTTTCATGAATGCGGCTGGATCCGACCAGGCGCGTGCTTGTGCCTGCGTGCCGAACCTCCGATTGAACGAGCGATTGAATATACACTGACATATACAATATACATCATACATATATATGTATATACACACACACGTGCAGCAAACACACACACACACACAAACATGTGCATGTGGTAATCCTGCACGCCCCATGGATACTCTTTGAGCTGTTGCTGTTTTTTATTTTTACAACAATATCTGACACTTTCGTTTCGTAAAGATCTCCGAAAAACATTCCTTCGAGGTAAGACAATTAAGAACAAGAATGTCTGTATGTGTACGTAATCGGTGTATGTCTATCACATCCCGAGACAACATCAGTTTCTCGAGATGGTATGCGACAAAGGCGGCCCATTGATGTATGATAATTAAGAAGTAGCAAGATTCTTCAGCAACTGCATGTTTGCGTTGATGACAGGACATATGCAGAAAAGCTCAATTTGAGTTGTGGTATTCTGGAACTGTTTGGGAGGCATACCGCGGCATTGTGCACACGCTGTGCAGCATCCTACGTGTGGGCCCTGCATAGCATCATTTTATCCATGCTGCCTGGTTTAGTGGAGCATTGGAGCTGCATGTGCCAGGTAGCTGGGACTAGTTGTAGGCCTCAGCGCTACTTGTGGCTGTAGCTCATTGTGATTCATTGTGCGTCACACACTGCTCCAAGGGATGTACAGGATGTCGGAGTTTGATGTTGGGCGTGGTTGTCCAATTTCGGATTGGAAGTATGCGGTTGTTCCATCGCAGCTACATGAACGAAAAAGAGTCTCCGGTTTGCTTCAAGCATGGCTGAGCCAGAAAGCGATTCTGCCCATCACTGCGGCTGGGGAGCGGGCAGTCGGCTCCGAATTGGGAGGCTTTCTCACATGCACTATGCAACGGAATGGGTTTTTATGCAGACTTAAGGGGAGGCTACGCCACCTGATCTGGAATTGTCGTTCTGTAACTCTGAAACCATGCCCCGTGTTTGCTCGGTGTGTCACGCGGAGGTCTTGAAGGCTTCCTGGCCCTGTACAAGGCCAAACATCCCTTGCCACCCTCCTGCCGCTGTCTGAGATGAATGCGCACCAGTGTTCTGCATAGTGACTGTTGGAACTATGGCGGTGGTGGACACGAAGTGCATACCATGATGATGATGATGATGATGTTGATGATGTTGATGATGATGGGTGATCATGATGATCATGGTGATGGCCTGAAGAAGAAGATAACGATGATGATGATGATGATTGATGGTGCTCATTGCTAGTGACAGAATCATTCCACTTCTCATTCGTCTTGTTACTGTGTCCGCACGCTTTGGCACCTCTTTTCAAGCATTGTCATGGGGGTCACTACGGGGAGGACGTCAGATAACTGCGTAGGACCTAGGATGACCTTGCAACTCTCGGAACCACCTGTGGCAGGGCTTTGCTCTGATCGTTTGTCGCAAGTTGATTTGGCCCCAAGCTCAGTCTAGCGTAGGCAACCGTTTGCCAGAGTAGCGTTGGGTTTGGAGCTTAGGTTTCGCCGCTTGGGATTCAGTCATTTCAGGTGCACTGTCTTCTTCGTGATCTACGAGCGGCTGCTTCAAGCAGTGTTTCAGGCAGTGGCATTGCCAGTACGGCACGCCATCATGGTTCGCCTTGCACAAGCTGGCGCGTGGATGCCCGTGGCAGGCATTGCGCGTGATGGAAACCTACTGATCAGTCGACCCGTCCTCTCCCTGGAGTCGGCGCACAGATTCGCTTGACGACGTTGTTCTACTCATGTTGCCTGTCAGTGGCACAATTGTGTAAGCCTCGCACAGGCATGGTTAACGACCAGATCTCAGCGTCTGCATAATGATCCAGAACATGCGACTGTATCAAATGCTACATCCAAATCCTTGCAGACAAGAGACTTGGAATGGTGATGCGCTTCAAAGTTCTCCCGGAAAACCTGCAGAGACATTCTCCGGGACAAGCGCAGAGAAAAGTTCTCAACAGAGCGCCCCAAGGATAGCTAAGGATAGATGGAGGGGTCAATGACGGATTACACAGATTGACATAGTAGTGAAGCCTGAACGGAACAAGCAAGGCTACGGTTGGCGACGTTTTTTGTGTGGGAATAGGCTAAATAGGTGCTGAACCCACACATGATGGACACGGAGCGGTGTATCTTTCTGGCAATTCAGAACTTCAAAGTCGCATGGTAGTGCGAAGTCTCTGTTTGCGATGATTTTGCAGCAGCTGCGGTTTCGTGCCGGGGTTAGGTGTTTTTCCTTTTCAAATTCGTCTTCCGACAGCTCTTTCAGGTCAGGTGTGCTTTGGGTACGACTTCGAAGTGCCCGTGACCATCTGTCACCATCTACTGGACACGGCTTCTGCTGCAGCTGTCTACGTCTTGTTGTGTAGCACACGCGTGTGAGTAGGAACAAGCACTTACGGTCGACCGAGAGATCTCGGCTCGACCGCCTGAAATTTCGTATCCCTCTCATCCTTTCACCTCGCCTCGAAGACATGGCCTCCTCCGGCTTCGACAGCGCTGCCTTCGCCGACTTCGCCGCTGCGGCAGGGCTGGACGTGGCGGGCGACACTATTTAGTCGTCGTCGCCTACGGCTACTTCGCCGGATAAGGTGCCTTTGGCGGGCGTTTAAGGGATCGCCGGGCAGGCCACGTCGGGCGACTCGGCTGGCATCGAGCATGGCACGTCTAAGCTGCCACCGTCTGGTGCCCCCTAGATGGAGGCCGAGATCTTTCTTTTGACGCTCACGGCCGCTCTCAGGGCGTTGTCGCCCGAAAACAAGGATCGGCTGGTGGCTGCTCAGGAGGCCGGAGCGAACCAGCTGGACGTCGCCCTTGCACGGGCTGGCGCAGTAATGCGCCGACGCCCGTTGCACGACATCGGCGGCGACGACCACCTTAGCAATTTCTCGGCGTCTATTCGACTGTTGGTACCGCGGCGCCTTCGGCATCTTCGCCTGGTAGGGCCAAGGGCTCGACCGATCCGGGCCCCTCAGTCGGCGAGGCCCGGAAGGCCAAGAAGCAGCTGCAGGCCCATGCTGCCAAAACTTGAGCTTTCGTGGTCGCCGCCCAGGCTGCGGCAGCCACTGTGCCTACTACCTGGTCGAGCGGGCGATCGGCCTTTGTGCCGCAGGGCCAGCTTGTCGGGAAGTTTCCCTGGCAGGCCCATTCGCTTCCTCGACGACGTCGACCTGAAGCCAAGAAGTGCCCGCCAATCTTTGACATGTTGGCCTGCAGCCGGTGCAGAGCTCTTCGGCGAAGCCGCCACCGCCGCCTGCATCGTCGAGGTCGTCGGCGGCTTCTTCGTCTGGCCCACCCCCCATGGACTTCGACTGCCTGACCTTCATCACTCGACGAAAACGCTCGGCGCTGGTGAGTGAGCGGCAGACGGCGCCGAGGGCGGCCATGCACAGCATGGGCCCCGTCTGCACCGGAGGCGGCTCACCCGCCCGAGCCCCTGCGGCGCGACCCCTTTGGATGCGGAGCGCCACCCACGGCATCTTCCTCCACTACGCCACCTTGCTTGGTGCTGTCGGATCGGGCACAGAAGGCAGTGGAACCGCTTCCGGCATCCGCTCCACGATTCAGGGGCGGCGGGCGTTGTCGTCACGTCTGGACTTCGTGGCGGGCGGCTTCCCAGACGTCCTCCTCCTGCTGGCAGCATTGATTGGGTGGGCTGGTGCTGCGTGCGCTGTCCTGGCCATCACAGTCGTCGACTTAAACCAAAAAGCCGTTGGCAGATGCGCTGTTCTTTCGTCTCGCCTCCCACGTTCTCTCTCCCTAGGTCCTTTGGGAGTGGGACGGTTGGTTCTCGCCAGGTTCAAAGGCTGAAAGGCCCAAGCTGACACGCCGCTGGCATGGAGCCACCTCGCCGCTCTTTTGCGCAGTTGGCCGCCTTGGCGGACAGGCAGTCGCATCACATTCGGCCTTGGTGGTGCCGGCCGGGGTCCGCAACATCGTCGGGCTCACGGCGAGCCTTGACGAGTTGGCAGCGGCTGGCATCCCGGCGGTCGCCTTGCTGGCGGCCCCTGCCCAGTCATCCCCGAAGGGCCCGAACGGGCATATATCTCCCATGGCACGATGGCAGAATGGCTAGGGCTTTGTGCTGTACATCGACGGCCAGGTGTTCTACGACTTCGGTGTCGTCAAACCTGAACATTTGGCGTCCTTTGTCGCCAGGAAGGCGTTTATCTATGTCCCCGAGATCCTCGCCCAGGTCCTGCCACTCGTCGCATTCGCCAGGCGCTTGTCACCGCACTAAATGGCGCCGGGCGGTTCGCCCTCATGCAGGGCTATGGCAAGGACCCCTCGGTCAACGGGATCTTCGCCTGTTTCTGGGGCCTGACGGCCGACCGTGGCTGGTCGCCCGACTCCAACACAGGGTCCCGTCTGAGGCCAACTTCTCCGACGCAGTCTTTCGGGGCGACGACTCCAGGGCTTGGGCCGAGGGTTGAACTCGAGTAGGGGCGCCCGTCGACGACGAGGTCATGCAGGTGCTTTGCGAGGCGGCGAGTAACATTGATTTCGCATGC